TCGTTCAGTGGGATCGTTTGCTATTGAATTCAATGCAAGTTGCTTGAATAGGCCAAGAAGCCATCTACATTTTGCCTGGTATGCTCCATTTAGTCGGTGGCGCAAAGTTTTACAGGAATCCCTTAGGATTGGGGCAGGTTCGTGTCAGGACAAACTTGGAAGCAAGTTGGTGCAACTCGATCACGTTGGCGAATATTCATTAGGACCGTATTAATTATGACCAGCAAACTGATTAACTGATTAGCATGTGTTCATGATTGTGTGGGACTGAACGACGAAATTGTTCTGTCGCACTGTTGATACTAATTACGTAACAAGAGACGCGATTCCTGATGAGATCGTCTAAACACGAAAGGTTTCTTGAAACTGGAGAATCGATCGCAATTTCAGTTCTAACTCGAAGTATGACAGAAACCTTGTTTCTAAATAATTCGAAATTAGATATGGCAATTATGTAAAACTAGGTCGACTTTGCTAAATCAATAAGAAATTACTTAACCACTCTGATATTTAACCATTTTGGACGAAATTTATCAAAATATAAAATCTTCTTTTGAAATTAAATTTAGAAATTTAATGAACATTACCCCTGAAAGTAAACGACCTGCCAACTAAAGTAATTTACCTATTCTTTCAATTGTTACTTTCAATTCCGCGAGACCTGAATAAAATGCAAATTAATATCAGTCGATCGCTTTCTTCCACTCATTTCCGGATGAATCGATCTTTCGCCCTCTTTTCGTCAATCTGCTCCACTCTCAAAGGCTACCAAGCGAGAGGTAGCAGGACCGATTGGTCACGTAATTAAAATGGCAGGTAGCTGACCGTCGGGCCAGAAAAGCTGGTGACAAAAAAAAAAGGCCACCCGTGGCGAACCGATATTCGCATCCGGTTCTGTTCCTTGTCAAAGGAAATAGGTTGCAGCTGCAGGCGAGCATCGACAAGTACGCGATACCTGTGTGCAACTCGCGAGAAACCTATCGCGATCATAAACCATGGGTTGTCGCAAACTGCTTGCGTCGCGACACCGCCATAATAAGTTAGAGCGTAAATTATACGAAGGAGCACGGCTGGGATCTCGGCAATCAACCACAAAGCGGATTTCATCGCCGCTTAATTTTCCGTGCAAACTTCTAGCAGAGAAAATCGCCGAGATACATGGCCAGCAAATATTGTTTGCACGAGCATTTTCGCTGGAAACGAAGCTTCCGGAAGACAGAGGATAACGTTGTCGCACGTTATCGAGCATTTTGCGCGCCTCGAGCGTGCTCGTCAGAGCTCGGATTTCCTTGTTCCATCGCTGACGAGGGTGTCGAGACTCGATCCTGAATTAACGCGATTCAACAACGATGCGAATAAAACAATACAGAATTTAACGAAATATTATATTTAGATAATTCGCACAAGTTTATGGAATAATCCAGTATTCTCAAGAGCTATTTGATAGATTTTCAAAGAAAGATTTAAGATCAAAGAAGAATGTAATTAACTTTTTATGAACGCTACTAATACCGACGAAGGTCTATTCAAAGATTCATTTTTCACCGCTTGTTGAACACCATCATATGCTTTAGCTTTATATTAGGCCTGTATCTCAAAGGGACATATTATCCCCGGAGATCATTCTATTAAAACCATTTATCTGCTCTCTTAGAAGCTCCCTTGAGACAAGTATTGTACTTTGGTAAAGTTATCTGAAGTTCCCAGAGGAGACTTCCCACGATCTCCTTTCCTTCATCTTTCTCTCATTTTTCAACGGTTCTTATCAGTATTAACTCGTATTACCGATATCCCATAGTGTCCGTTATTATACTTATGCAGTTACCGTGCGTGACCTCTTCATGTGTGAAATACTTCCTTCACGTGATTACTTATGCTCTTACACTGTTCTTTTTCAAGAAACTTTGCACAGTAAAGTATTTAGTGTTCAAGAGAATATGAATTTTAAGCTGAAGTGACAGATTAATGTTACATTTTTAATTTAACATTGCAAAATCTATTACCATATTTTTCTTTTCTAAAGACATAAGAGTCTGTTTTGAATTAATATTAAAGACAAAAGATGTGTAATACTAGCATTTTCCTTGTCATCTGACATTCTGTGACCATAGATCACGTGCAAACAAATTTTCGTGAGTTTACATTCATATGTCAAAAGTAATTATTTATAAATATTCAGTTAGGGTTTTTGGCGAGAATTGTGACAATGCTGGAACAAAACGTGCGGGCATCAATCTGGGAGCTTGCAAATATTTATCAAAATCTCGTATGAAAAAAAATGTCGACGGGGCGGGTATGTTTTACCGACTTCTAGCCGTCATAAATCTCTACCTCTACGTTGAAAGGTTCGAATTTCCACCTTTGCCGCGGGTTAACGGCACGCGAGTAGGACAGACGATTAAAATATTCTATAAAATCCGTCAACAGCTCGGCTGTCATCGAATCAACTTCAAATATTTGATCCTTTCTTTCCCAAATATTAACTTCTCCGCATCCACCGACCAGATATCTCGCTAATTAATTTTTATAATTTAAAATAGAAAGAGATTAAACAATTATTTTGTCCGACTTATAATTTGCACATACTCTTTTTTCTTTATTTACCCGATTCTTTCAATTTTGTGTTGAATTCAGGAAATTAATTCAATCATTCGTTTCTTTTTTCCAACGTTTATATTGCTCCTTTTTGCAAAAAACCAATTGCGAAATATTCCGTAAAAAGGGCGAAACGGATGAAAGTCTGCTCGTAAAATACATATTTCTGTGAACAACAAAAAAGGATTAAAACCTTGCATCGATGTAATTCACGAATTCGTACCAAACGAGGGATCGGATATCTGTTTATTCAGTCACAAACCGAAAGAGATATTACATTTTTTTCAGCGTTAAAACGTCGAAAAATTGTAACAATTCCAAGCGATTTCATGCTCGGGGACAACGAAGATTGACGTGAATCACGGTGGTGAAACGGGGAAAAAATACGTGTAACGAGAAACTCGGAAATGTCGTGGTCAAAATCGCTGATCCGACGAAATGCGAGCCTGGTTACGCGTTAATGTAAAATTCACGTGGAATTCGCGAAACGTAAATTTTGTCGCCTTGTTTTCTACCGGATTAATCGTCGGTGAGTTGACACAGTACAACGGTAAAACCGCTTTTGCCGTTTCAGCTTCACACGGATTTCGCAGATTTGCAAAATTCATATCTTCAACGATCCCCGAGATTCTATTTGCACCTCCGGCGTCGAAATAGAAATTAAACATCATCACGGGCTACCTCGTTCATTTTAATCCGGCATTGTATTAAATGTCAATTAACCATCCTCGTTGTTTCAACCTCTACTTCAAAAAGATACGATTGATACGCGATAGCACGTCTATAGAAAACGAATTGTTTAATTTTTAAATTGCTGTTTTTCGAACAATTGCTTCAATATTTTTCCTCCATAATTTATGTGCAATTTGAAAATTATTTCTTACGATAACACCTTTCCATAGAATCTATCGTATTTTCTACTTAGTTTAACGTTAGACACAACTCGTCGAAGATGGAAGATAGAGGTTTAACCGAAGTCGGTGAGACGTGTATCGAAGCTCGGTTTCATGGAAATGCGGGTTCGGCCAATATTGCGACTCGATATGGTAGTTTGGCGCAGCTTAAACTTACCCATTAGCGGCTACTAGTAGCCGGTGTGTTCATGGGCGAACCGTAACGATGGCATCTTCGACTACTACAGTTTGTAGCAAACAGTCGTTCACCCTAACGTGCTTCCGGCGATTCTACCCTCTCTGATACAAAACCATCAAACCTGTTTCCTCGATTGAGCCCTGAATTTATAGCTCGAACTTCCCTAAACGTAGACTTTACAACTTTCCATCGCGTTGATTCTTTCTTCTATTTCTTCAGGACCGAGCCGAACTGACGCATTCAATAGCAATACAAAACACCCAGGCGCGAAAATACAGCGAACATTACCCTGACAAATGCTTCATAAAACGGGCAGAAATTTTTGCGAAATTTCCTTCGTACGTGAAACTCCTCTATTACGATTCACCTCATACATATTTATTCGTTCCACTGACAAATGGAAAGAATTTGTTTCCGCGTAAAAAGAGCGCAACGAAACCGGCAGAGATGCGTTTAAAAGTCCAATGAGCTATCCCGTTCCCATTCAGCCGATACTAAGCGCTCTATTTCCCATTCCTACGACTCGGTTAACGTAATTCCTTTGCATTAAAAACCGCGCATCTCTTACGACCATTGTGGGTGACGGTACGCCTTTTGTACAGTAGCGAACTGTTCTTTCATCGGGTGTAACTGCGCACACCGAACGAGACCTCGGTGGAAACAGTTGAATCTAGCCCGTTTCGCAAACAGATTCAATTAAGATATCCACCCTCTTCGACAGTAGTCAAGGAGGTTACGTTGCTTTCGCAGACAAGGAATCGCGGTTTAAAGCTGCAACATGACAATTCCAACGGAATCGAGCTCTCCTAGGGAAGAAATGTTTAGAGATTAACATCGCTTTTATTGCGATTCAAACGTTCTTAAACTTTTCCAACTAAATATTAACACACTGATTACTTTAATGATCATCTGTAACTAATGTACTCAAATGATCAATAAAATAAAAAAGAAAGGAAAAATGTTTAGTGTAAAAATATTTCCTATTTCTTCTCAGATCTCTGTTAACCCCCATGTCAAAGTATTAGATAATTGAAAAAAAAAGGGAAACTACCAGCGAATGTTTTTCAGGAAATGTTATATCCCGTCACAAAAGAACCTTTCCTTCTTTCTCAGCTACTTCCTTGGAGCCTGAAACAACCCTCTGTACACGCGGCAACAAAGAACGATAACCGAACAATACTAGCGGCAAATGCCAGCAATAATGGATCGACTTTGCCGGGAACGGTAACGCTTCGAGACTATAGATTCAATTAAGATAGGTAGCAAGGTATCCCAGGATCGGCCACTCAGCCGAGAAAAATTTCTGTTCACAGAGAGAGTGGTCTGGTATGAGGCAGCGACACGCGCGATCGAAGCTCGTATTCGCGCGTCGGCGGCAACTTCGAGCGTCAGCGGGACGACGCCACCGGTTGGTGTGGCGCGGGGCGTCGTTCTGTTCGTCGGTGACGGGATGGGGATGAGCACTCTTACGGCAGCGAGGATCCTCTCGGGTCAACGTCATGGAAACACGGGCGAGGAAGCGCAACTCGCTTGGGACAGCTTTCCAGCCGTGGCTCTGGCAAGGGTGAGTTCACTTCTCTTTCTATCTCATCTACACCACTTGTGTCACTTTCTCTCTCTCTCTAGCTTTCTATCCGTAGTTGCCGGTTTCTTCGTCGATGTTTCCCTTCCCATCTCACTTTTTCACTAGGTCTTCGTCTCCTGCTTCACGGCGAATACAGAACATCGAGGAATACATTCTCCCCGGAGAGTTCTTACCTCCATCGAACGGAACATTTCGAGAACGTCTATGTCCTTGATTCCAGATACGCTTATTATGTAACAGATTTGATTTCTTGGTATCTGATATCGCTTCACGATCCATTGAACTGGATCAGGATGAACAAGTCACGATGGTATCGATCAGTTTCGTTCGTTTCCTTTTTGAGATATCTTTGCTCACTTTCGGTCGACACTTTTCCTTGATCTTGAACATCAATTTATTCTACCTTTCTGTATAAATTTATAATTCATGGAAGAACAAATGAAATAGGAATCAATGAATATAAATTGATCTAATAACTTGCTATGCAAAAATTCTCTTTCCATGAATGAAAAGTCCTATTGAGAAGGTACCAAAGCGTATAATTAGTTTCCATTGATATAAAAAGGAAATTCCATGAAATTATCAAAGATGCGATTAAACAACTGTGACAGTCTTTCAGATTCTCCATTCGCACACTACGCGCATACGAGTCCCGAGGGTGCAACATCAGAAGCGTAATTTTTCACGGTCTTGTCCCAGAAAGATTCGTGGCTTCCCTCGTTACCGTTGTTAATTATGAACCTTCTCTTTTTCCTACGCTGCCAGACGATCCTTCTTTCAACGTCACGAATCGCGAGCGTTCCATTCGGTGCACGGCGTAAAGAACTAATTAAGCCGCGAGGGGTTTCGTGAAATTTCCGGAAAAACGATGCGTGAATCGTTTAATTTGTTGCTTCTGTCGCGTTGCACGTAATAAGAGACACTGAATATTTGCTTAATCGCCTTTTGCCGGCATCTGTTCCATTTTTCTTGTTAAGGTGTTCCTTATCCGCGGCTTTTTATTCAAGGCAAGATAGCACACATTTCAACAAGAGATCCACTAACAATGTCCTCTTCAAAATCACGAGAAGCGTTCCAGAAAATTTTCGAATATCTCTTATTTCACAATGCAGCGACAGGAAAACTGATATTTCAGTTCTTTGACGTCACACACATTGTTCGTGTGACAAAAATAGAAATATCTATTATATCAAAGTTTTCATTTTGTATAAATATATTTACTATAATACTGTGAAATGGTAGCTGTTATTTCAACTATTCGTCAAAAGCATTGGAATTTTGAAATTCCATATATTACGACAGTGATAGTCGGTGCCCTGATCAATTATCACGAATTTGTACGTGGCCGTGGTGAAACAGCTCGGTCGCAGCTAATTACAAGAAGCAGAGAGCAGAGGAACTATTTGAATACTTGATCGGGATCAGAGAGGATGTTTGCGAGCTTGGATCGTTCGAGAGTTGGTCAATTTGAAATTGTTCGCGGGATTACAACGAACAAGTAACAAAGTACTGGAGTACAGGTAATCCAGCCGCGTTTCACTTCATAATTACTCGAATGCAATTTCAAACGAGCGACCCAGAAATGAGAATCGCCTGGACAAAGTCTACAGGGAACGGTGTCGGACGAATCGATCCGGGAATGATAATTAAGACAGGCGTCTCGAACTTACTTTGCATGGTTCGCCCTGAAATTATTGAAACTACGCGAAGCTTCTCGTCTGGTCGCGTGATCTTGTCTCGTGAAATACAACGTTCATGACGGGAAATAATCAAATCGGAATCGCTGCCAGTTTCCTATCGGTTCGTCATGCGATTCTTCCTCGGCTATCAGGAAATTACAATAGATTCGATTTTAATGACAAGACTGAAATTTATTTAGAATTACGATGCGCGTTCACGATTTTGCAATACGGATAATTCTTCCCAGGCTTCGCTCCCGTAGAAACTCGCTCGACGCCTAATAAAAAATTGAATTCGAGAGATCCCCGCACGATCCTTTCGACAGTCACATTAAATTTCCACGTTCGACGCGTATTTGCACGTTGCCGCGTTTATTTCGCCTCGCCTAATCCAATTTGCATCCGCTTCCCTTTACGAGCATCTACTTTTCGCGTCTGGAAACGGAACGTACGCCCACGGATTCTGTCGTTGAAAATCGAGCCACCTCGACGGAACTTGCCGACAAACTCTGCCGGGATTTCCAGGATCGTCTTTACACCGGACTAGCTTATTATCCGACCGATGTAATCGAGCTTACCACGCATGGCCAAACTCTTCCCCTACCCCGACGCTCAGAGGATTCCCTTTTTCTGCCGAACACTGGCTTTCATACATTTGCATAACGATACATTGGAGGAGTTCGAATCCACTCGATACTCGTACCCTCCTTTAATCCCGTCGAAAATCGACTTTTAATCATCGTACCACAACTTTCATAATGTTCGAAGTTTCCTGAAATCCAAACACCGTGATAAGACTACAATATCTCCGGACGTTTATCAAGTTTTACGAATTGATTTACGGCTATCGGTGAAGAACCGAAGAAGACAAAAAAATTGTTCACGTGCACTAACTCGGACCACAGGGAAAATCGTGTGCCACCATAAAAGCGAAGATATACGTCTCTGCGTATAATATGTGATCGTTTCTTTGTCCCCGGTATTCCTTATCCTCTTGTGTTTTACGAGTGGAATTCTTCTTTTACTTATGCTCTGTCCTAGTCCTTCGGGCCTTCAACCATTCTCTCTAGATCAGCAGTTCTCCGGCTTTTTCTCCGGAAAATTCCCTTTTCACTATCGACGATATTCGACGGTGAATTGATCAAACCAGCGATCAATGTATTCTTTTTCCCTAGTTTTTGCAACATTCCCTTTGGACAGTCTCTCTCCTCGGGGTCTTTGCTATGCAGATTCGAATTCTTCACGCTTCATTCTTCCTCATCCTTTTTATTACATATCAAGCAAGATAGAAATTTTCAATCGTTACGAACGTACGTTGGAAATCGTAATTGTTGATGCTTCGATGTTTCTTGGAATTAGGTTTCCAGCGAAGTGAGTGGTTATTCAATCGTTCAAGAAACTCTCTTCGCTTCCATCGCCAATACACGTCGAACTTGTTAGCGAAACTTTTAGCGGTAGTCCTGTAACGTTTTCGCTAACCGTATCTGCCGCAGTTGAAGACTTGTTTATTACCTCGTCGATGTAACCGGGTGTCTTATGCTTCACAAGGAAACGCTCAAAACTTTTCGTACGGCGACTTTCAACCAACGGATAACTAAGTTACCCTGTGTTTCGGTGAATTCATTAATATCGTTGCGCTCGATTATCATAAACGTAACGCAATTTCCTTATCCATTAAGTACTTGGTACACGTACTCGCGAACACGCGTTAAAACGTACCACTTACCCTTTACGGATAATCGGTTTAGTTAAATCAGATTTAATGGAGAAAATTGAAAAGCTAAGAGCTCGTACACCCAGTTAACAATTAGTAAGTAAGTGATAAATAAACCTTAGTTACACACGAGAAAAAAGTAATATTTCGCTTCGCACTTAACTTTCAGCTTAAGCTGAACTTAATTATGTACAGTACTCTTTTCTTTTATCAAAGCGATTTTATGATTCTCTTCCTGGTTAGTTCTCTATTCAGCAAGTTCCTTCTCTTTATTTTATTGTGCACTTCGAGTGCCTTTTTCTTTTAAAGCTTTATCCGTGCTCTCCTGTCGCTGCAGTTCGAAAACGGCTAGTATCGGGAAAAGTTTTCGTACAGTCCTTCAGGACATCTAGGACTTCAATATTGCCTACAGACTCGCTTGTTATTCTTCGAAAATAACCGAAACTTTCTGTGAATCAAGTGGGATGCGACTTGGGAACGAATTTACTTCTCCTTTTACTTGACGATGTAAACTAGAATTCTTGCTTTGAATATTAATTTACAATTAATTTATAATTAAATTTGCTTTGAATATTAATTTATCATCTCGCATAGAATCAGCGATAATAAGTTATCACAAATATTATAATAAATACACAAAAGCAAAGGTTTTCTATTAAAACGTTAAAGCAAAGTTTTTTCATTCGTATTTTCCTTAAAGTGCATTGAAAAGTAGCTTATTTCATCTTTCACCTGGCACTCAACATTCGTCATTTACTTAGCACGACCATTTCCTTTCAATCTTTCGCACCTTGGATATCTTTTTAATACGAGAGCGCAATAAAAGAAAAAGGAAGCTTTTTCAACAGTTTCACGATGTTTTAGGTCTCCGTTTCAACCACGTGCTGGATTTCACTTATTAGTGGATGTTACCTATCCCTTTGTTCCTCGAAAGAGCTACTCTTCTTTTCGAATTTCTTTTTTTTCTCTGTCTTTCCTCAGATCCATTCGTTCTGCTTAAACTTTCCGGGGAAGTCCTTCGGGATTTCGAGCACTTTCCGAAGCTGGTCAAAAGCCGTCTTATTACCGTATAGATGTAAGTTCTTCTTCCCAGACAGAAATCGAAGGGAACTCGATCATGTAGGAACAGATTCTGCAGAATCTTCGTATTCTCTTTTATAGGGAACCATCTTTCACTTTCGTATTTTCTTTTCGTATTTGCGTTCTTTTCAGATAGAGATACCTTCATTTTTATATAAAAACACCTTATTATTTTACCATTTCTTTGCTGATTTTATTTGGATATAAATCGAGGGAACTAAAGCGGCTAATACAAAGAAATTTCATCCTTGTGTGAACAACTGGCTAACCACTGAAGCTTTAATATTTAACCGTTTTATTATGAAGAGATAAAGGTATTCAAAGAATACAAAAAATTGTTAAAAGGAAATATAGAACTGGGTACCCGAGTGCTTGCTTATCCACACAATGGTTAAATAAATGAATAAAAACGTACCCTATGAATTATTTAACTATTTGATCATTTAAAGAATGAGCTAATTTTTTGCTCACACTGAACTGGTAGAAAAGGAAGAAGTAAAATAAAT